AACAAAACATGGCAGAGACACAACAAGAAAAAGAAAAATTCAGGCCAATAACTCTGATAAACATTGATGTGAAAATCCTCAATAATATACTGGCAAACTCAATGCAGCAGCACATCAAAAAGCTTATCGATCACGATCAAGTTGACTTCATCCCTGGGATGCAAGGCTGGCTCAATAAGTACCAGTCAATAAAGTAAGCCATCACATAAACAGAACCAAAGACAAAAGCCACACAATTATCTCAACAGATGCAGAAAAGGTCTTCAATAAAATTCAGCACCCCTTCATGCTATAAACTTTCAATAAACTAGGTATGGATGGAACGTAACTCAAAATAAAAAGAGCTATTTATGACAGATCCACAGCCAATATCATACTGAATGGGCAAAAGCTAGAAACATTACCCTTGAAAACAAGCGCAAGACAAGGATGTCCTCTCCCACTACTCCTATCCATTCAACATAGTATTGGAAGTTCTAGCCAGGGCAATTAGCCAAGAGAAAGGAATAAAGCGTATTCAAATAGGAAGAGAGGAAGTCAAATTGTGTCTGTTTGCAGATGATATGATTGTATATTTAGAAAACCCCATCATCTCAGCCTCAAAACTCCTTAACCTGATAAGCAATTTCAGCAAAGTCTGAGGATACAAAATCAATGTGCAAAAATCACAAGCATTCCTATACACCAATAACAGACAGAGAGCCAAATTATGAGTGAACTCCCATTCACAATTACTGCAAAGAGAATAAAATACCTAGGAATACAGCTTACAAGGGATGTGAAGGACCTCTTCAAGGAAAACTACAAATCACTGCTCAAGGAAATAAGGGAGGACACAAACAAATGGAAAAACGTTCCATGCTCATGGATAGGAAGAATCAGTATCGTGAATATGGCCATACTGCTCAAAGTAATTGATAGATTCAATGCTATCCCCATCAAGCTACCATTGACCTTCCTCACAGAATTAGAAAAAACAAGTTTAAATTTCATATGGAACCAAAAAAGAGCCCTTACAGCAAAGACAATCCTAAACAAAAATAACAAAGTTGGAGGCATCACGCTACCTGACTTCAAACTATACTACAAGGCTTCAGTAACCAAAACAGCATGGTACTGACACCAAAACAGATATATAGACCAATGGAACAGAACAGAGCCCTCAGCAATAATTCCACACATCTACAGACATCAGATCTTTGATAAACCTGATAAAAACAAGAAATGGGGAAAGGAGCCCCTATTTAATAAATGGTGTTGGGAAAACTGGCTAGCCGTATGCGGAAAACTGAATCCAGATCCTTTCCTTACACCTTATACAAAAATTCACTCAAGATGGATTAAAGACCTAAACGTAAGAACTAAAACCATAAAAACCCTAGAAGAAAACCTAGGCAATACCATTCAGGACATAGGCGTATGCAAAGACTTCATGACTAAAACACCAAAAGCAATAACAACAAAAGACAAAATTGATAAATGGGATCTAATTAAACTAAAGAGATTCTGCACAGGAAAAGAAACTACCATCAGAGTGATCAGGCAAACCACAGAATGGGAGAAAATTTTTGCAATCTATCTATCTGACAAAGGGCTAATATCCAGAATCTACCAAAATGTAAACACATTTACAAGAAAAAAATGAACAATCTTATCACAAGGTGAGTGAAGGATATGAACAGACAGTTCTCAAAAGAAGACATTTACGTGGTCAACAAACATATGAAAAAAAGCTCATTATCACTGGTGATTAGAGAAATGCAAATCAAAAACCACAATGAGACACCATCTCACACCAGTTAGAATGGCAATCATTAAAAAGTGAGGAAGCAACAGATGCTGGATAGTATGTGGAGAAATAGGAATACTTTTACACTTTTGGTGGGAACGTAAATTAGTTCAAACATTGTGGAAGAAAGTGTGGCAATTCCTCAAGGATCTAGAACCAGAAATACCATTTGACCCAGCAATCCCACTACAGGGTATATACCCAAAAGATTATAAATCATTCTACTATAAAGACATATACATATGTGTGTTTATTGTATCACTATTCACAATAGCAAAGACTTGGAACCAACCCAAATGTCCATCAATGATAGACTGGATATACACCATGAAATACTATGCAGCCATAAAAATAATGAGTTCATGTCCTTTGTAGGGACATGGATGAAGCTGGAAACCATCATTCTCAACAAATTAACACAGGAACAGAAAACCAAACACCACATGTTCTCACTCATAAATGGGAATTGAACAATGAGAACACATAGACACAAGGAGGGGAACATCACATACCAGGGCCTGTCGGGGGTTGGGGGACCTAGGGGAGGGATAGCAGCATTAGGAGAAATACCTAACGTAGATGACGGTTTGATGGGTGCAGCAACCCACCCTAGTACATGTATATCTATGTAACAAACCTGCCAGTTAAACACATGTATCACGTAACTTAATGTATAATTTTTTTTAAAAGAAAAAATATAAGTAAAATAATATAAAACCAGAAGTTAGATTTTTTTGAGAAAATAAATAAATTTCAAAAAATTTTGTCATACTGATCAGGATAAAGCAGAGAAAAGTTAACGATATTAAAGATAGCTTTCATCACTACAGATATCAAAAGCATAATGTGAAAATATTTTGAACAACTTAATGTTAATACATTTGACAACTTAGATGAGATTTACAAATTTCCTGAGAGATAAAAATTAAAAACAAAACTTAACTCATTAAATAATTAGATAACCAGAATAATTCTGAAACTACTAGAGAAATAAAATACATAGATACAACTCATATAAAAAACAAAATTACAGCCCCAAATATTATCACTTTTAAATCCTACCAAACATTAAGAAAACATTCTAATTCTATGCAAACTCTTTCAGAAAATTAAAGAGCATATTATATATCCTACTGTATTCTATGAAGCAGTATTTTCATTATCCCAAATTTAGACCAAAACATTATAGAAAAACAAAACTATAGAAGAGTATCCTTTATAAGCATAATGCAAAAGTGACTAAGTGGCTAATCTATTTTATAAAATAAACAGCCTTGGTGACCTAGAAGGGGCATCATGCCTCTTGCAAGGTGCCCAGCATTTACTGAACTCCTAATAAGCAAATATGCTAGATGAATGAAGAAAAGATAACGTGGATTATTATGAAGATTTGGTCTCATTCAGACTCAAAAATGTTCAATTGTCCAGCAATAACATGGCTCATCATCTAAGCTGATAAAATGTCATTGTTTACAGTTTTCTGACAATGTGTGATTGCACTGAAAAAAGTTACAATCGATTACTTCTAAAATGAATGTAGGATTTCTAGCATAGACATATGGTGCAACAGACACTAAGGAGAAATAAAGACACAACCAACGTTGATGATTTTTTTGAAACATGACAAAAACTATAAAACACAGACACTTATTGAGCATTTGTAGCTACTGGTATGACTAACCCCTTGTCCTTTAAAAAAGAGATGAATACTTATTTCCATTTCAGTACTGCAGAAAATGTAAAAATAATTTACACTTTTTTCTAATAAACCCTCAAACAAAAGACACCAACAAGCCCTCATATACCATTTCAATAAAACACAAATATACATTGCTTTGGATATGAACATGCTAGTGCATATACATTGATCATTGGACAGCTAGATTAATTTTTCATTTTATTTCAAGAGTTTTACTTTAAGCAATATGAACATTTTAAACTAAGCATTTTATGTATTATGGTAAAAATCCTGCCAGACTAAAATAATCCCCAATAATAACAAGAAGGTGTGTTTCAAAATGATGTTAAACAATATAACAAATACATAATTTGATACTGATAATTTATTTTTTAAAAACAGATGTTCAGTGAATGATACGGTAATAAACCTAAAATTAACCCTAATTTTCAAGCTAATGTAAGCTCTAGGCATTAACTACACATTAGATTTTATGGACTGTTTCTTAATTACAAAGGTTAACATGTTCTCAATCTCACCAACAAATTAAATTATCATTAAAATATATTTAGTGCAGCAATTTGCTTTGTAAATTAACATATTTGGATAGTCCTAAAATGAAAATTAAATGGTTATATATTTAGCGTTGTGATTATTAATTTGCTATGTGTAAAGGACAACATGAAATGAATTTAACCATTTATTTTCCCTAACTAAATTTTAAGCAAAGTAGAATTTTAGATAATTTATTAGCTGCATATTTAACAGATGAATGTATTGTCTATCTCTTCAGCTGTCTATATGTCCCTCCACACATCCACCTATCATTATCCATCCCATGCATTAATCTGTATATGCCCCAACTACATTTAAATTCCCCTTTGAACAATATATGAGATTCATTTATATTTCTGACATATTTAAAGCCTTTAAGATGGTGAAAACTATTCAAAATTTGGAAAGATATACTACACAAATTAATACCTTTACCTTTCTTATTGACTTAAATGTCATTATCTCTTCAGCAATACTCTGTTATGAGAATATAATTGACATAATATTCTTCAAAAAATTTGATATGTGTTAGGCCTTAGTAACAATTTTCAAAAGAAAATCATAATTTATAGGAAAACTTTTTTTCTAATTTATTTATTTAGTTCATTATTTACGTCAACTTTTATTTAACCAAGAAGGATAATGAGACAAGGACTACAGCAAGGATAAAAGTATTAAAATCATTGACTCTGGCATTAAACTGCTTGGTTCTTACACTCAGCTTTGCTAATAAACAATGGGCAAGTTACTTAAGTACTTGGAGCCTCAGTTTTATCATCACCAAAAAACGTTTACAATACTATCTACCTTGTACCCAGGGCATTTCAAAGAGAGCCAAGCTAAGAATCTGTGCTCTGGAAGTATTCGGTATTATTACTGTGCTTGATTATACATTGTGCAACCATTTTTTCACACAGTTTGTATATAGTGAGATTATTATATTTCTAAAAACATAATAAATGTTTTCAAAGTACTTACTTTATTAAATTGTTCCTGGCATCTGGGTCATACGCTGTAACCTGTCCAATGATACTGCCCTCCTTTACATCTTCATCTACTTCTATCAAGTAAGAGACTTTACTGAACACAGGAGGTTCATCTATATCTTCCACAGATATTTTGACCACAGCTGTGTCTTTGAAAGGTCCCAGGTGCAAGAATCGTGGATCAGGGTGAGTGTTACTTGCATCCACTCTTAAAGTGTAGAGCATTTGATTTTCAAAATCTAAATTCTGAAGTTAAATAAAATAAAAGAAGTTAGCGTAATTCAGAAGCTATGACAACGGAAGACTATTTCAAAGTTTAATAGCCAGCGATCATGATTATACCAACAATTCTGTTTAAATGACTTTCTCAATGGTTGCTTTATAGGTAATGCAATAAGTTTATAAATATGTGTTTTGCCATACACTTATTCACAGAGGGTTAACTTAGTATAATGGCATACACATTGATTTTGACTCTCACTTAGTAATATGCTTCATTTTTTTTGGTGACATGTAAATGAAGTATTATCTAATGGATTTATATAATATGTGTTATCATTACTAAAGTTACACAGTAACAATCAGAAGAAAAATATAAAATAGAAGTATAGAATAAAACATTTCTATTTCAATTATTTGAGAGCTCGTGGAAAGTAAGATATGCATAAAAAGTGAAATAAGGACAATATGAAATGATACTATTGAGCTGTATTATTAGATGTAAAGATTCAGAATGTTCTCCCACACTGCATTGAAAATCATGGTAACCAATGGAAAACACAGAGCATCTTCAAGTTGTATCTATTTAAATACATCATCACACTTAACAATGAAAATATTTTGAAAAGTACATGAGATAATGATGGCTGCATGTTTATTTTTTCCTCTATGGAGAAATATAAACAAGTACTTTGAAGTTTATCTAATTTTAATTTGACTGTTTTCTAGTGTAAGCATGAGCAACTGAGGTTTTAAGTGTCAATTATGAAGACATTTAACTTGTTTGAAGTGATATCACAACTATTCCCATTTATCTGAAGGATAGACAGCATGTAAAAGATAGGAGAAAATAAATCCCAGGCTTTTTCCCCCTTTACTGAAAAGCAAAAATGAATTATAAAGCACTCAATGAAAAAATGAAGACAGTGAAAGGAAACCTGTTTGACAGTTATAATCCCTTCCTGTGTATCCTTGTCAGTGATGACATCGAACATGTCTGCACCATCTCCTTCAGCAATTCTATACTCCATCTCTGCATTTTCCCCCACGTCAGGGTCATTGGCTTTTATCCTTCCAAGATGAGTTCCAAGAGGTACAGACTCAGGAGAATTAAATTGATACGTACCTATAAATTAAATAAGAGCTGTTTTGACATTTCATCTTTAGATAACAACATTCTTTCATTTCCTCTGCATTTTTAACTTAAATACATTAATTTTAAATAGGCAGAGTTTTTATCATATTGAATTATAAGCTGTCAAAATTATATATCTATTAATTTGGAAAAATAATTTATAAAACAGAACACTCTCATTTTGTAAATGAGAAGTGTAAGTCCCAGAAAAAAAATTAGAGAATGTCCCAAGGTTATTTATACTACAGATGGTAGGCCTGATATAAGAATCCAGTAGTTTTGACTTAAAAGAACATGAAAAACAATTATTTACTGCTCATCTGGGGCTTTTAAAACAGTCATCACACTTTTTTGCATGTATTCAGTTACATTTTTAAAATCCATTTATTATTTTATTCAGGAATAAAAAATAATGCCCTACAGACCAATGTTTCTTTTTTATTTTTATTTATTTATTTATTTATTGCCTGTTTGTTTAAGTTTTAATATATTTTAGTGGGTCATGGATTTTTCTATTTTTTTGTAAGTTCACGCAAATATTATATTATATTCTGGTATCCCTAAAAGCATTTTAGTTTGTGGCTACCTATTCAAGACACAATAGGAAAAAAAAAAAAAAAAAAAAACTTTAATGTTAATGAAGGTCAGAAATATTTTTAAACATTTACAATACGCTGCAGTCTATACAAGGTCAAAGGGCTTATATGCTAATTTATTTAATCCTCACACTAGTCCTCAAAGGACCAATTTAGCTGTATCATCTTCAGGGGTAGGCCTTAAGGAAATTACCCTGCAGACTTGGGAAAGGGAGAATGCAAAAACTAATTCTTTCTGACTTCAAAGTCTATATTCTCTCCAATTGATTTGGTGATTAAGAATATGCGTATATGGCCGGGCGCGGTGGCTCAAGCCTGTAATCCCAGCACTTTGGGAGGCCGAGACGGGCGGATCACGAGGTCAGGAGATCGAGACCATCCTGGCTAACACGGTGAAACCCCGTCTCTACTGAAAAATACAAAAAACTAGCCGGGCGAGGTGGCGGGCACCTGTAGTCCCAGCTACTTGGGAGGCTGAGGCAGGAGAATGGCGTGAACCCGGGAGGCGGAGCTTGCAGTGAGCCGGGATCGCGCCACTGCACTCCAGCCTGGGCGACAGAGCGAGACTCCGTCTCAAAAAAAAAAAAAAAAAAAAAAAAAAAAAAAGAATATGCGTATATAAATCCAATTGCCTGGGCTTGAATTCTGACCACCTGGCCAGTTAGTTAAATTCTCTAAACTTTGATGTCTGCATCTAAGAAACAAGGATGATAATGATAGTAATTCACTCATAGGTTTGTTTTAGGGATGACATAAATTTAGCTCTGGGTCTAGTCCTTAACTATTGTAGTTCCAGAGTTTTGTTAACATTATTATAGATAGCAGAATTACAGAATGTCAAGTTAAAACTGCATCGAGTATTACTCTTTATAAAGGAATATGAATGCAAAGTTTAGGTTTATGTTATTTCGGCTTATTATTTATGTTCTCGGCAAACTTTATCGTTTTACATATATCATATAAATATATCCACCAATCAAAGCTCGATAAAACATTTTAAATATAATTGGCCTGGAAAACTGTTTTGCTGTATTGAGATTAGTGGTATGAATTTAAGTATCAGCTTTTAATTGAATATTTCGAAATAGGACTCCTTATATATTTATTCTTTGCAAAATAACAAATTTCAGCAGAAAATGGAAATCTTTTTCTGCAGCACGTCATGAAATGCAAAGCATCCATGGTTTAATGTCCATCTTAAAATGGTGACAACTGAAAGAGTGTTAACTGATGTAATCTTCATAACTTGGTAACAGAGATATTACCAAACTTGAATATGTCTAAAATGCCCTCACAAATGTGGTAAACCATAACTCTATGGGTCACTAGGAAAATAGAAAAATAATGCTAAATAAGCCAATCTGCGTTGATATTTTTAAAATATCAAGAAGTCTGTGTTTCACAATCAATTAGATAAGAGATTTTAAGTTTTACGTGCAAACAAGGTAGCTGAGGTAAGACAAGTGAGAGACACAGGATTTGAATCCAGATAGCCAGACATGAGAGTCCACACTCCTAATCAGGAAGAGGATCCAAAGGAAAATGTTAAGACAATCTTAGTGAATGTTGAGAAAGGAAGTGTGGAAAACTTTATAATGCTTCAAAATTAGAAAAGTTAATTAAAAAGTTGCCAGAGAGGCAGGGCACGGTGGCTCAAGCCTGTAATCACAGCACTTTGGGAGGCCGAGGCGGGCGGATCACAAGGTCAGGCATTCGAGACCAGCCTGGCCAACATGGTGAAACCCCGTCTCTACTAAAAATACAAAAATTAGCCAGGTGTGGTGGTGCTCACTGCTAATCCCAGCTACTCAAGAGGCTGAGGCAGGAGAATTGCTTGAACCCAGGAGTCAGTGGTTGCAGTGAGCCGAGATCACACCACTGCGCTACAGCCTGGGCGACAGAGTGAGACTCTGTCTCAAAAAAACACAAAAAAACAAAAAAACAAAAAAACTTGCCAGAGAAGCTTAATCCTTTGTTTTCTCCCACTACATACCCCCCAAAATGATGAAAATAATCACCATCACTCTATTTGTGGGAAATTGTGATTTTTTTTCTTTTGGTAGAGGAATGGATTGTGGTTTTTCCTTTATGCATCAACCAATAGCAAAACTACTAGCATGAAGCATGAATATTAAACTCGGCTACTAGTGTGTTTGAGAAGTTTTCGGACATGAGATCACTGAAACATTCCTTACTCTGGGGAAATCGAGGAGGGTTGTTGTTGACATCTGTCAGCGTGATGTTCACTGTGGTGGTTCCAGAAAGGCCTCCCATCTGGCCGCCCATGTCTTTGGCCTGTATAACAACCTGGTACTGCTCTCTATTTTCTCTGCTCATGTCTGGTAATGCAGTTTTTATTATGCCTTTTGGAAAAAGCAGACGAAAGTTTTGCAATTAAATCGCTGAGTTTTAAAATTAATAAGCTAGACAAGATTCATTTTACAGAAGTTGATTATAACAAACATAAAATGTCAATGTATTTAAATACGTCTTTCAATCCATAACTACTTTAACATAATTCACAGAACAGGAAGGATTTTGCCATGGGCTATTGTTCATGAAATGGGTTTTGCTAAATCAATGTATTTATTTTTTTGATTACAAAAATTAACTTCAGTCAAAAATCTTTCGACAAATACGGTTGTTTAATTTTGATAATTGTCACATTCAAGGTGTAAGTATTCTCTATGCCACATAATGTGCTGAATCTCTGTGAAATTTTGTATTTAGTGTTTCAGATTTAAACCCAATGAATAATAGTTTAAAGAGCTAAGGGTTCAAATAAGTTATTAAAATAATAGAAAGTTTACTTTTGTTCACATTCAATAATGAGAGGAAACAAATAGAAACATGAAACTGAATGAATAATGATTTAAAAATATTTTTAAAATCTCTAAATTAATTATGCATCTTAAAGTATTGTACAATAAGAAGTTGACCAAGTTTAAATGTTGTACCTGATTCTGGGTCCACTGAAAAATATGGCTGTCCTTGCAATATGCTATAGACCACTTTGGCACTATTTCCATAGTTGGCGTCATCTGCATCTGTTGCAGTTACTTGTATAACAGATGTACCTACATGAAACCCCATCCCCAAACAGAGACATTTACATACTTCCAAATTTGAAATAATCTTTCTTAAAAATATGTTGCTGTCAGTGTTTTGTATTAGACAATGTTGTATGTTGGAAGAAATTTATTTAGATACTTCCCCAAAAAAGTTACTTTTCTTTCTCATTTTCTATATACTTGAGTGTTTCTTAATTTTTTAATCTAAGAAAAGTATCAAAATATATTTATCAGTAAGGTGAATATAATGAGATTGATTAATACATTGCATTTTTAATTGATTGGAAATGTTTTAGGGCAAACATTCTTAAAATGAATATAACGCACATGAAATTTGTAATTTAATACATTTGCTGCTAACTGGAAACATGTATTTAAAAGAAGAATCTAACATTTTTTAACTTGCTACTGCTTTTTACTCTGATATATTTGACTGTGAATGGTAAATAAAATAAAAAATAAAGTGACAATTTCTATGAAAAAACAAACCAAAATGCTGTAAAGTTGACTTGCAAGATATTTTTTGTTCCCAAGATATATCTAATTATGAAGAGCCTATGCCTCTCTTTTAAATATATATACTCTGGTTGCTTATGATTACCCTTATTGATATGCTGCATAATACTGGTTATTTGATGCACATTTGTAAATCATTATTCTCCAAAAAGAAGCTGTATGGTGTGTAATTCTGTGTCACAATCGATACTGCAATTTAAGCTTACTGTCTAATTTCATATCATTAAATTTAAATTATGCTAAATTTTGTTTCAAATCTTTCAAAACATAGAAGTGCTTTAAAAGCAGGGATCAACATAATAAAATATATTGATGAATTTTTCAAATTATTTTTTTCTGAATTTCTATAAAGATTCAAAGCATGGTTCTAACATCACCCTTAGCTGAAGCCTACTATGTGTGCCCTTGGACAAAGCTACATTGTAGGACATTTTTCAGTATATTTTACATAATTTCTAAAAGTTTGAGTCTGACTCTTACACACATTTTAAAGTTTTTGAAAACAAGAAGATTCCATATTGACTCTACCACCTAATTTAATAGCCCACATACATTACACACTCAATAACTTGTCTAATTGAATTACGGTGGATGTTTCTCAAATGTCGTGTGTATATGTGTACGCCGATTCCAAAAATTAATATATAGTAATTAAGATCAATATTGACAGCTCATTTCCTGTCAATATATTTGAATGTTAACACATGAATTGAGCAAGACTTTTTAATGTTTTCTCAGAATTAATTAGCATAACGATGACAACTTGAGCTCATTCTCTTGAGGCCCCTGTTTTCTCAACTGTAATGGAATTGATGTGTCCTGTGAGTGAATGGAAACATTACATATTTACTTAATCCATCCCAGTTGTAAGCTTTTGTCATTAAAAAATTATCCACCCATGTGTTTATTAGATGAAAGCAAAAATGATAAAGTGATTTTATTCCCCCCACACAAATCACTTTATGATGTGCAGAAATTCAACAAAGTGTTTTTTTAAAAAAATTTACATGTAATGTCCTTTTTATATAACCCTATATGATATATATTAGAATAAATGTGGTTTTCACAATTGGAGGTTATTGAAATATGAATTATTAAGCATTACCAATATGCTGAAAGTACAAGTAGTTCGTTCATCAATTTTAGGACGTTTCTGGAATTACCCCTTTTATTTTTCTTTTAACGTGAGCATTACTGTAAGCTTTCATAATGGGTACAGGTAAAAACAATCTTCTATATTTATTTGACTCTTTCAAATAATATTTTTGTGGAATTTTAGTTTTGATTATTAGCTCTGTTAGTGGATACATGATCTTTGAAGTTACGCCAAGATGCATGACAAAGATAAATAAGTTAATATAAACAACATAAATAAACTCTATGATGTGGCCAAAAAACTGAAAGCACACATGTAAAATACTTGTTCCACCTCTCAGAGCTCTGGTAATACTTAAGAATGCTTTTAAACACTGGTAGTCACTGATAAAATATCATTGATATGTTGTTTTTTAGCAAACTGAGAGACAGTGTGTTGGATTATAGGGAATAAACCGTTATAGTTTTTTCAGAAGTATAATGACTCTTTACACAGTTAAAAGTATTTAGTAATAAAATTAAATGGAAAATGGTTTATATGTTTTATGTTAATTTTATAAATGTTTGTTTATAAAGAAAAAATAAAAGAGAATACACATGGAAATTTACATCCCTCTAAATTTTCCAAAATATGTATAAATTTTATTTGTTCTTTAGTTATTTAAAATAAATATTTTATTTTCATATTAAAGATAAAAATATACTAAGTAAAATATAGTGAAACTTGAATGACAAATTTATGTATTGCATCTCATATCAAAGAGATGAACACGATTTTGAGATCATTATTTTTGCAATTCACATTTTTATAAGAGTTTTGCATATATCTTAAATAGAAACTATCTTAAGGAATCAAAGAAGTTTACTGTAATTCTTAATTCATTATTTACTTAACTATATAATTAATAATCTTTAGGAAAAATTCCAAAGACTTTTTGTAAATCGTGAAGAAATGTTAAAAGCCAATAAATAAATAACTTGGTGGCTAAAGATTTTGGGGAACCAAAAGCTTTCCTCTAGATATGGAAGAAAAATTCATCAATATTAGTATTATTATTATTTAAAGATAAGAAAAGTTTAGATTACACAATGTGACCAAGCTATGCCAGTTGGTCTTACATATATATTTACACATATTAGAGGAAGTTAAATCAATTCTGTTTATTACACTATACAAAAATAAACTTCATATACAAAAGAAAAAATCCCTCTATATATTTGTGCCTTATATGCAAATATGAAAATGTTTTGAATCTAGTGTTTGAAATATTTGAAATCGCAAATGTAAATGACCCCGTGACCCCAAAACATAGGCCTCATATCTATCATCCATCTATCATCTATCTATCTATCTATCTATTAATTATCTCTGTAAACTTACAATAAAATATTTATATACGAAGATTGCTTAGACAGTATAAATGTTACTAATTTAAATGGTTTTCTAGACACAGTATTGAGGAGGGGAAATACTGCCTTTACTGCTCTAATAAACAGCAACTCTGTGGCATGGTAATGTCAGAAAATATACATCACAGCCTATTACGTTGTATAACACTTAAAAGCTTTATCTCTCACACACACATTCTCTTTATCTCTATCTATCTATCTTTATTTATATCTATCACCTATCTTTCCGTATGTCTGGAGTGGTTGATATAATGGTAAAGCCAACTAAAGGATAAAGAAACAGAATCACTTTATATACTAGAGGAAACAAAGAAAAAAGGTGAATAGTATGGGCTTTATCTTACCCTGTAGCCTAAGGCCTACCTTTTGAGCACTGTAGAAAACAGACTGGAATATTTTGACTTGGCTCAATGTGAGAATAAGGTAATGAAAGTTACAGAAAGTGAAAAAGGAGTTTATTCTTCACACCTCTCTATGAATCTGGTTTGGATAGAGTCAACTGTTTGCTTCTGCCATAGGGCAATGACAGCCATTAACTTGAGGACCAGAGGTAAACAGTGCCCTTGACATAAATGTTTGTGCTGTGGGGGCCACTAATAAGAGAAGTGGGGGTGATGTTTTCAGACAGTGTTGTGGAATTATAAGGGGTCCATTAATTAAATGTCAATGAATTCAAATCATGCTTTGTTAGATACAAGTTTATTTTCCTGTGAAATGCAAACTCTTTAAGGGCAGAGTCCATATCTAATTTGTTCAACATTTTATATTTAAAACCCAGCAGAGAATCTAGTGCAAAATCATAAGAACTAACTTTCACAGAATGCTTAATGTAGACTAGGCATAGTTCTCAGCACCTGATTGATTTTTATTACTTTATCTTCATGATACATTTGGGATGTGGGCCTTGGGCAAATAGAAGTTGCTAATGACCACAAACCCGGTGTGTGATAGTGTTGGACTAAGTCTAAGTCCGTTCTAGATACATTTGGTCAAGAAATTTCCTTATAAATACTTTACCAAATGGCCTCTCTCTCTGGTGTTACAAATACAATTGGATACATTATTGAATCCACACGCAGTGAACCTCTGGGACATGAAGAATTCATTGCCTGAGTTATTTTTGCTGTCTGTAAAAAAATTACAAAATGATTCCTGGTTGGGGGTCAAAGTGTTAGGAGGAGGACTGGATAGGTTTTTGAGAGTGAAAGTAAGGGAAATTTCCAGTCACTGAGAAAGGATGCATCCTAAATCACCAAATTTACACAACAAGAATTTGCCTAGGTGAAGACGAAAGCATGCATATGAAGCAAGTTGATAGAAAATATTCAATCAATAATATAATGATCACAAGAAATAAAAAAATACAGAAAGTAGAAATAGAAAAGGAAAATACAAAACGTTGTAATTGAAATGTATCCCATTATCTTTAAATATATATCTTTATATATCTTCCAAATTATGTGTTCTGATTAGAATATGCTAATGTATTTCAGGTTTCATGAGTTTATTGGAGTCATTTTAATTTAACTGAAAATGGGTTGAGCATTTGGCACTAAAAATCCAATGTGAAATATGGCATATGATTGTGACAGACAGAAATTGAAGCAGAAGGAAACAACAAGGGAAATAGTTGTTGAGAGAGAAGAGGAGGAAACAAATTAAGAAATAAAAATGAATGAAAATAAGCGACAGATAAATGGCGATCACCAGAAAATAGCATTGGAATTTTTTTTTTTTTTTTTTTTTTTTTTTTTTTTTTTTTGAGACGGAGTCTCGCTCTGCCCTTAGTGGCCGAATCTCAGCTCTGCAAGCTCACTCCTGGGTTGCACGCCATTCTCCTGCCTCAGCCTCCCAAGTAGCTGGGACTCAGGCGCCCGCCCACGTCGCCCGGCTATTTTTTTTTGTATTTTTAGTAGAGACGGAGTCGCCCGGCTATTTTTTTTTTTTTTTTTTTTGTATTTTTAGTAGAGACGGGGTTTCACCGTGTTAGCCAGGATGGTCTCGATCTCCTGACCTCGTGATCCGCCCGTCTCGGCCTCCCAAAGTGCTGGAATTACAGGCTTGAGCCACCGCGCCCGGCCAGAAAATAGCATTGTAAAGAAGGGTAGGTCAATAATAAATAAAACTTATCTTATTCCATAAGACTCTATTTATTAACAAAGCTAATACTGGTAGTCTTTAACTCTTTGATTTAAATGAAAATATCTTGTACTATCTGAAAATAATTTGAGAATTAAATCATTGTGTATTATTTTATTTATAGATGTATTCTTAATTCTTTGATTATGCATCAGATTTAACTGTTAATATATGGGATACACAAGGCATGGCAGAGTTCCTAAATATACTTGTTAGCTTTCCTATGTAAATTGGTTTATTTGGATACATAGCAGTAAAAGAAATCACACCCGTAATAATTATAATTAGTCTTTTATTCTCCTTTAAATAAGATAGGAGAGTTACAATAAAAGATCAACAAAAGTTTAGAAGGTAAAATACATCTACTTTTTATTTAGACATATTTATATGGTTATATATAGTGATATATGTGGTTATATATAGTTTTATATATATATACACAGTTATATATAGATATGTATGTATTAAAATGCAGGGACTTTATCCCCTTATATTCTTATTTAGATTTAATTTGAATGAGAAGGGCATTTGATTTAAAGTAATAAATAAGAAAGATATTAATTTAGAGGAGTTACTCACAATGTAATAAATTAAAATATTTCCAGACTAGATTTTGAATAATAAACATAACTAACAGAGAAAAATAGTAAGGCATTAAAATTGTCCAGCTATCTCTGTAATATGGTTTGACTATGTTCTCACCCAAATCTCATCTTGAATTGTAACTCCCACAATTCCCATGTGTCATGGGAGGAACCCGATTGGAGGAGACTGAATTATGGGGGCGGGTCTTTTCTGCACCTTTCTCTGGATAGTGAATGAGTCTCAAGACATCTGATGGTTTTAAAAACAGGAGTTTCCATTCACAAGCTCTCTTTCTTTGCCTGCTGCTGTCCATGTAAGACATGATTTGCTCCTCCTTGCCTTCTGCCACAATTGTGAGGCCTCCCCAGACATGTGGAACTGTAATTCCATTAAATCTCTTTTTCTTCCCAGTCTCGGATATGACTTTATCAGCAGCATGAAAATGGACTAATACACTCTGCATCTATTAACTTTTCTTTTTCTTTTTAAAATTAGGCTAGTAGTAAGTTGACCAAGTCAGTTTAATTATTTTGGGCTCATGTTTATTTATTTATTAAAATAGGCAATTAAACCAAGTCTAGTATTTTCTGCAAATGCATATTATATATAATATATTATACATTTATATTTAAGTAATGGAAGTACATACAAAGTTATAGGTGAACCAAAGTGGAAGCAAGTAATATAATGTTAGTATTAGTAATGAAGAATAACGATTGTCCTCTACAAATAGGATTAAAATTTATCTGTATTCTTAAATCTTTATAGTTCCAAAAGCTGCAGCCTTAGCCATACATCTGCCTGCTACTATAATATTTGTCTCATTTCGTGGGAATTTTAGCCATGTAGCGAATGCAACTGACAATGGCTCAAATCCTTGTATTTGCAACCTACATTAATCCGAAGTTGTACTGCTTACACTTTAAAGCTTACGTAAATGAAATATAGATTGTCTTCCAGAAAGAGATTTTGTACAATATAAACTACAAAGCATCTTTCATGCATAAACTTATATATTGTATATTTTATTATGAGTGATGAAACCAATGAAAGATTTTAAAAAATACATATATGTATGTGTGTATATATATGTGTGTGTGTGTGTTTATTTCAGTTCGATATTGTTACTCAACAAATATTAATAGAACCTAGATGTATTACTATTTCAAATGAGACAAAATACATTCGAATTATTTACACAGGTGACAAATAGCAATACACAGAGTAAGATATAATAGTTCATTAAGTATCAGAAAATAATGTAGGAGAAAATACAGGTTATGGGCGATTAAATATCAATAGTCTCTGATAGGGAAATATTTGCTTTTTTTCACAAAAATGGGGTATTTCTTTGAAATATTTTGAGTATTCACATTTAAAACAATTATTCTTAAAGTTTCTCATATTCAAATATTTCCATTTTCTTAATTATACTTTTTACTTTTCTAAGTATGTGAAATCTTTCTGAGGAAGGACAAGTGAAAGTTTTGTATTGTGAAGTTTCAACATATCTGGTAAAATGATATGTACACAAGAGAAACAATAATATTTTTCAAAAGATACTAAAAAAACAGAAATACTTTAAAATAATAATCAATAGGAAGTTGATGAGTATAATTTTACATGCACCTTAATCTCACATATAAACCCATTAAAAAACAAAACAAAGCAAAACAAAAAGCATGATATGTGTCTAAATTAACCCACTGGTTGTCCTATACAAACCAATCTAGTGCTTTCCATGCAACTAAGGTACTGAAAAATATAACAGGAAACATATCCACTCATGTTTTGTATTAGAGCTTTATGATTTCACAGGACTCCTGTCTAATTTGATAAATTCTTTTGTTTTATTAGAGTGAATACCTGAAAGGGCTATTTCAGTTCTATTTAACTGCATTTTCCTCGTTAGATGAGATTTCATTGGAGGTGAGAATAAATAAGTTTTTAAAAAACTCTTGGTTCTTCCTGCTAAATGACATAGTTAACATTTTGTATTAAACATTCAGTGAAAGTGAATAAGTTTGTTTCTCCTTGTATATAAATTATTTTAAACTGAAACATATATTAGTTAAAAGAATGTCAAAATCATACACTGAAAACTGGTTTTGAAATAGTGTTCAATTAAATTGCATCAAATTTGGGAAATTGGTTGCAGATCTTATAAATTAAGTTTGTATCAGTTATTTTAGAAATATTTTTATGATGTGAATCAGTTCTCATTGTCTCACTAACAAATCTAAACCTTTTATATTAATAGAGTTAAATGTAGTCATACACAGATAAAACTTCGCACAAGTGGCATCTAAAATGGTGGGCAGCCTTAAGAAGTGAAACTATTATTTTCAGTTTGCATAAGCCAATGTTCAGCAGTGGAATGTGCACAAAAATAACGTAAAAAGACTTGTAATCTTGTGATGATGCCGCCAAGTTATTTGATCTTAATTCAGTTGCTTAATCTTTCTGAATCTTGAGTTTCTAATTAACAGAATAGGGATTTAAAGTTCTATTTCTCATGCCTACCACATAAGTTGATTTTAATGATCAAATGAGAAAACATTTCAACAGAAATTTGCCAATTGGGAGCATTGTTATTCAAATAATGCAAGCAAAATTGTCCAAAACTACTGATACAATTATTCTTTTGATTTCTGATAGATATACATTCCACTTGACTGCCATTTGAATGCCAATTGAGTAGAGTTGAGAGAATTGATTGAAATAAACTGAATTAACTGCTATCGATAATAATATTTTATATGAATTACAACATAGCAGAATTAAGATATACAGAAATAAAAATAGAAGAGTTAGTTTAAGCTAAATAGTAGTTTCCAGTTATAATTCTTATTTTGAAAGAGGCCACATATCATTACCACATGTCAATAATGATTACCTGAGCAAACAAACAAATAAAAAGTAATTTACGTGGATTAGAGTATACCTACCGACTCCAGACATTTCAGGAACACTGGCAGTGTATAAGTCTTTTGTAAATTTTGGCTCATTGTCATTGATATCATGAATTTTAATGATAAATTCTGATTCCGGTTCCACCTGCCGCCCAGTTTTTCTGTCTATAGCCTTGGCACGAAGAATGTACAGAGATTTTTCTTCTCTGTCTAGTTTCTTTGCAGCATGAATGTCTCCTGTATTTTCATCTATAACAAACAGACTGCCAGCCCCATCTCCTGTTAGTATGTACTTTAAATTTCCATCTCCTTTATCTTGGTCAGTGTGAAGCTTTAGAGAGGTAGAAAAGAAGAGTTCTGTAAATATATACATTATCATTACATAAAACATAATTTTGGCGCTATCAATTTGTGTCCATATAACAGCTCTGCAATGATTATCTTAATGGTTACCTTGACTTTCACTGTAGAAGGGAGTTAAATATTTCAGTTCTTATTATACTCAAAATTTTTAACAGTTATATTTAGACATCATAAGGGACTAGATTTAAAATAATGTGAAAATTAATATGTATCTGTTAAAACAAAGATATTTATGAATAAAATGTTACCAAGATTTAAAACTGTAGTGCATTAAAAAAAATCCATTAACCTACCTCTTGAGTGTAAAATATTAATTAATGTTGATTACATTTAAAATGACTAAGTTCTAAGATATGATATGAGAAATCTCTGAAATTATTTTAATGACAAGTTTAGAATAGCTACCTTAAGTTTTAACTGATTTTATTCCCCTTGAGTACAGAGTATCTTTGTAAGTGGATCCCTGAAACTGTGGATAGTACTGAACCCCATATATATTATATTTTTTCCTGTATGTACCTTCCTATGGTAAAGTTTAATAAGTTAGGCACAATAAGAGATGAACAATAACTAATGATAAAATGGAACAATTATAACCATATACTGTAGCAAAAGTTATGTGAATGGTCTATCTTTCCCTCTCAAAATAGCTTGTTGTTATTTACTGCAGGTAATTGAAATCTCAGAAAGTGAAACCATGATTAAGGAGGAACTACCGTATAACATTGTAGAAGCACAGACTCTGTATTCAGAGAGACTAATCAGAGAGAGAAAGAGATTTGTAATTACTTATTTTCTATGTGACTCTGGGAGAATACTTTTTCAACCACCATGTTCTCATATTTAGGAAATGTTTTATTTTTTGTACCTTTTAAATTTCAAGTAATATAATACTCACAGCTTGTCCTCTGGCCATATGTACTATGTATTAGGAAAAAATAGTATTTTTTTCATAAATTGTGTTCTTTTCATTAATAAATGCCCGTCTGTAAAAATAACATCTTAATGTAATAGACTGATAATTGAATATTTAAAACAAACAGACCATGTACTCCTAGAAATTATGAATTGTAAAACAACCTTAAAGATTTTACAATCCTAACACGATTCTGAAATTATAAATTTTTAAAAATTAATTGAAAATAGCAATTGTTTATATCATAAAATCATGGGTACATTATAATATTTTGATATATGCTTATGTTATAAATTAAATCAAACTAATTAATAAATCCATCACCTCACGTACTTATCTTTTGTTTTTTATGGTAAGAACATTTACAAGGATGTGGATGGAGGTGGGAGATATTGATCAAAGAATGCAAAATTTTATTTATTCAGGAGTAATAAGCTTCAGTGGTCTTTTGCCCTGCATGGTGATTATAATAACTGATAATAAACTGTATATTCAAAATTACCAAGAGAGTAAACTTTAAATTAAACTGGAGTTTTAACTAGCTTATCCCTGCTGTGTTGACTTACATCATATACTTTACAATTCCCGCTTACATCCTGTCCTCACCTATTTCTTGAGCACTCCATTTTATCTTTGAATTATTTGACTATTTAAATTCTGTTTTTTAAACATAGCCAAAATTAGAGATGTTTCATGTTTTACACCTCCTTTGCAAGCTCAGCATCAAAATAATTATCACATGTAGCCTTCCCATCTCTGAAATATCTTCTCAAGACATCTATCTTCATCTCTATGGCTACATCATATCTTTTCCTTCATCTTATCTTCTCTGGACCACCAGAGCAATCTTCTAATCATGCTGCCTCCGCTCTTGCTCTACTCCAAGCAATTTTTCATACCAAAGGGGTGATTTTTCCACATCACAAATGTAGTCATATTAGAATCTAGGTTAAAAATCTTCAAATCACAGCATTTACGAACTATAAAGCTGGAGTCATAAAAACCAGGGTTAGCGTCATGCGTATTTCAGTGTTATATTGGCCATGTGGCTTGCTTGTTTTTAAATGTAATTTATTAAGAAAGTATACTTTTTTTAAATCTTTACTTTTATTGTTATTGTAATTCCTTGAATTCTATGACCTTATTTATACATCCTGGATAATCTGGCCCTGAATCCCAGAGGCATCTCTGCCTCTTTTCCCTCTTGCCATACACTCTATACATAGCAATTGTTTTGTTTTGTCTTTATGTCTCAGAAGGCCTGTCCTAGCTTTCAAGCCTGATGTTTGCATCTGTTTCCCTCACCTTTTTACACCTTTCCCTTCTTTTTGTATTTTCCTCTAAATGTTTGTCATATCTCATTTTCAATTTCCTCCTTAGGGAGGCCTTTCCTGACTCACTAGATTAGGATGGATGAGCCTGCTCTTGACTTAGATAACATACTTCATTCCCTATCATGATACTCATCACATTTGATGTAATTGTTTACCATGCCCACTAAGCTGTAAAATACATAAGGGAAAGACTGATATTCTTCTATTAAATCATTCAACATGTATTTCTTGAAGACCATAAATACTTCCTCTTTTTTAAAACTAACTTTTCACATAAATACAATTATAAAAGTCAGATCATAAATAAAACTTGCCTTTTTAACATGAGTTACATCTTATAAATCTCTATGTGTTAACGATACTGTTAATGACTATCTTTCTGAAATGCCTTTTTCAAACCATTTATAATTAATATTTTTATACCTTTATCTTTGCATTACTAGTCATCTTATTTTAAGAGGATAGAAAGACAAAATACATAATTTGATGAAAGGAAACAAATAGCAAAAGATGAAAAAGGTGGATAGGTAGAGAATGTTATGTATTAGAAGCCCAATTACATTACTTTTTAAACATGCTATTATTTTTCAACAGAATTATTTTAGTTTTGCTTTAATGCAGGATTTGTTTGTTTGTTTGTTTTTAGACATTTGAGAAATTAAACATGTACATACAGGACAAACTAAAAATTTTAAATAAATCTGTAACAGTTAATTTTATGTGTCAGCTTGATTGGGTCGTGGGATGCAGAGATATTCAGTTAAACAATATTCTGGGTGTATTTGTGAGGATGTTTTTGGATGAAATTAATATTTGAATCAGTAGTCTGAATACAACAGATTGGCCTCCTCAATATGTGTGTGTCTCATCCAATCCTTTGAAGATAGGACCCTCTCATAGATAGAGTTCTGAAAAACAAAAAACAAAAAACAAAAAAACCCACCTTGCTATTGTCAATAGGTAACTGCGTTCTCTTTGAGAGGCAGTCTTGGTCTGCTACTGAGTTAAAAATTGAATATTTAACTACTGTCTATCAATTTACCATGTGATCTGAGTGAGTGTACTATTACCTGACTCACCAAATCATAAAGTTGGACATGCACTACAGAGTTCTATCATGAAATGGATGTTGTATATAGGTGACATGGCCTCAGTAGGCCTTGAAGGCACAAATAAGTTACGTGAAGAAGTAGCACAAATTTCCACGGTCCCCACTCCTTCTCTCTGAGATTTCTGTCTCTCAGACTTCCTCTGTGGCCTCATAGATAATTCCCTGTGATCGGTTTTACTAAATAAAAGAAGGTTCAGGCCTGTTTTGCAGATGGTGCTACAAAATATGCAGGTACCAACCGAATGTGGACAGCTATAGCATATAGCGCCTTTCTATAACATTTGTGAATAGAAATGATGAAGGGAAACCTTGCTAGTGGCAGAATTTGAGCAATGCTCCTGGTTTTTCACTTTGCTTGGAAGGAGTAATGGCCACCTGTGCAATTATGTACCAATTCACAGGCTGTGACTAATTGTATGGTTCTATGACTAGGACCTTGGGAAGAGCATGGTTGAAAAATTGGTGATGAGGAAATTTGGGGAAGTGGTATGTGGACAGATCAATCTGAATGGGCAAAAATGTGAACACCCGTGTTCATTTTCACCAAGTGATAACCTCAACATACCAGCAGTTTAATAATGAAGTGGACAGGATAGCCTGTTCTATGAATACCAGCCAGCCTCTTTGCCCAGTCACTTCTGTCATCAGCTGGTGAGCTTATGAATAAAGTGGCTATGATGGCTGGGATGGAAGTTATGCTTGGGATTAGCAATATGAACTTCCATTCACCAAGGTCAGTCTCACTACAGCCACTGCTGAATGCTGAAGCTCTCAGCCATAGAAACCGAAACTGAGCCTTCAATATGACACCATCCCCCAAATGATCAGTCAGCTACATCACGGCAGGATAATTAGATTGGTTGACTCCCATTTTGGAAGAGATAATGTTTTGTCCTTAGTAAATACTAAATAGGCATTTACACTGGATATAGATTTGCCTTCCCTGCAGGCAATATCTCTGCCAAAACTACCATACTTGCGCTTGCAGAATTTGCAGAATGCTTCCTGATATTCCAAATGGCATTGCTTCTGACAAAGGAGATCATTTCACAGCCAAAAAAAAAAAAAAAAAAGCATAAATGGGCTCATGCTCAGGGAGTTTCTGACCCCACCATGATCTTCATCACTCTGTGGCAGCCGATTTAATAGAATGATGGAAAGGCCTATTAAAATTTAGTTTCTTTGCCAACTGGTTGGCAATACCTTGCGGAGTTGGGCCAAGGTTCCCTAGAAGGTTGTATATGCTTTGAATTAATGCCTAATATATGGTGCTGTTTTTCCTGTAGCTGGGATTCACAGGTTTAGGAATCAAGACCTAGAAATAAGAGGGACATCATGTGTTATTATCTGTAATGACCCACTAGAAAATTTTGCTTACTCTTTGCACATACTTGTGCTCTGCCGGGTTAGAGGTCTTACCTCCAAAGATAGGAAAGCTGATACTGAAAGATACATCAACAATTTTCTTGAACTGGAAGTAAATAATGCTGCCTAGACACTTTGGGCTCCTCATGCATCTAAGTCAACAGGTAAAGAAGAGAGTTACTGTGCTGGCTGCAGAGATTAAACTTGATGACTGAGGGGAAATGCAGCAGCTAATCCACAAT